GGATGCAATAATGAGTGCACAAATTGCAGAATTCTGCATGCGTGTATTTGTGGATCCGAGTGAAGAGACAGAATGGCCTGTTGAGTAGTAAGACCTGTATCAGAGGTTCCATGGGATAGTCCAGAAATGGCCCCAAGTCTAATATTTAATAAATAAGTAACAGTGTCAGTGTGGTCTTTCTCAGGGAAATAATGGCTAAACACAGAGCTGAAAATGAAGGAGAGTTAGGGAGGGGAAAATGGCTGATAGATTTTACATAAAGAAAGGACACCAACTATATGTCCTTAAAGTTTAGAGCTGAACTTTGTATATTGGCTGGACCATATTCTGCAGGGTTAAATACTCTGCTCAAGGACCACAATAAAACTCTAATCTTTATTGATCACTTTTATCAATCTAACCATTTAGTCTGAATCACTTCTGTACTACGTTTCTAAAGAACAAGAGGTAGACTTTTGCCATCTTAAGTCTCTTTATCCAACCCAAACTTTATAATCACTTAAATTATACATTTGGCTCAACAGGTTTTATATGTTTAAGCTATCAAGAATAATTTATAAGACTTCCTAAATCATTTTTAATCATTATAACTCCTTTGGCCAATATTTGTGTTTGTTAAAAGCTAAAGGTGAGAGCTCAATACTGTGAGAAAATGAATGCACTATTTGGTTTTTAGGTTTGTCCTTTATCATTAGATGATGTCTCGATATTATGACTTTATTCTAATTTAATCACTGAATGAGTAATTCTGGCCATTTTTGAAGAGCTTGTATATAAGAAGTAAATGCAACACTGACCAAAATACCAAATATTCAGAGGACCACAATCTCAGTCGGTTCTGAAGAGATTGTAAGTACAACTTCTGCTGAGCAAAATTATTATTTGAGTTATTAGTTCTACTTTTTTTTTCCCAACCCAACTGTTGCATTTTTTTAGAGACTTAGGTAGTTGTTGCATATTCACCTAAGTAAGTGTGCATTTTTTGACAGGGATTATTTCTCTAAGATTTGATTTATTTTTATGTTACCTTTTGTATGTACATGAAATTATTAATTATTGAATGACAAGTTTTCTTAATACTGTAACAAATGCCTAATGTGAATATTTATTCTCTGTTAATGTCCCTTTGGAAAAGCAAGAAACTGGTCCTCTAGCATCATATAAATTGGCAATATTAATGTGCTACGTTGAACAATTTAATTTCATCCAAATAAACTGTTGTTGAATTAACCATTATTAATACTGCTGTTAAACCTTATAGCCTATTTTATATCCCTTGAAATTATGAATACCTCCAAACAGAAGTTTGGACAAAATTTTATAAATCTCTCTAGGATGTCACAAGTAGTTCCTTATGGAAACTGGCTTAAGATCATCCTAAAGAAGTATTATAATGGGAAAAAAAAAACACAGTCTTTGGAAATAGACTAATTTCAAATATGGAAGTCGTGTTCTATATATTCCTTGGTCAAATTCTCTCTTAGCTTTATCTTGCTTATCCATTAAATGGGGAACATAATGTTACTTATGTCATAAGATTGTTATGTGAATTAAGTAAGATGATAGAAATAACTATTTTATTCAGTATTTACTAATGCCAGACATGTTAAGAACTTTACTTTTTGTAATGAAATTTTTAACTTTATTGTAATGAAATCTCATAACAATGTCAAAACATGCACTATTAATGATCATATTTTATAAACAAGGAAACTATTTTAGCTAAATACTCAGTTCATATACACAACTTGTTGAACACATAGCCCAGTGCTTCATGAGACCTCTGTAAATGTTAGTTACTGCTATTATCCCAGAATTCAGCATTGGACATTTGGAGGAATGTCTTCTGTCCCTGATTATCTTTGAGTTAGGATATGTAACTCCTATGGATATGTTACTGGGCTGTCCTGTAACTCCAACTGTAGGTTAAGTAGTCTCACTTTACAATGATGAATTATTTAATGGAGGCAACACGGGGTTAGCATTTGTGGATTTCTGAAATGTTTGATCAAAGATTTCTAGTTTGAGTGTTAAAACTGTTGGTTAGTCTTTATATACTAGCTTTAAGCTTCCTAAAATATCATTGTAAAGACAAAGTTTAATTAAAACTCATTTTTAAAAAACACCATTAAGCGCTGGCCCCATAGTACAACAATTAAGATTTGTGCACTGGGGACCCAGTTCCACATGGCCAATCATGTCTATGATCTCCACACCAGTGGCCTCAAAAGCATATTGAGTATGTGTGTTTTCCAAATCCTGAGGAAATGGAGAAATAGAGGAAAAAAGATCGTGGCATGACCATGTCTCATGGTGGGGGTGGGAAGGGTGTTCTTTCTATTGCTCTCTGTCTCTTTTTCTATCAAATGTACACACTTCTGAAAATTAGAAAGAAAGATACCATTAAATACGATTCTATATTAAATAGGTGGCAAGACAATTAGATCAGAAGGTCAGATTTCAATTTTGAGAGTTCTAGTCTGCCTTCACTTTAAATTGGAATTATGCTAAGTGCTCTGCATAAATTATGATACATGGTTATATAGCCTTTGTTGAAATACCACCAGCAACTAAAAGTCACCAGTTTTCAAAGTTCAAATATAAATGATCCAAATATTGCAAAAATTTCACTGTTTTAATTAATATCTTTCTATAGATCTCCAACTAGTACATTGAGCATGCAGTAGTTTCTCAGATATTTATTGATTTATTTCTAATACACTAAAAATGAATCAATTTTAAATTCTGCCACATAACATTTTTTCAAATATTTGATTAAAAATATCACTTTTCCCTTGAGAGTTTTTTCACCAGCATAATATCTGAATATTCTCAAAGTTATAGTTGGCAATTCCAACATAGAAGGAAGTTCAAATGTTCTCAGTCGAATGTTTGTACGAGAAATACATAATAATTGTTATAACGAGGTCAGAAAGATGGGGTCTGATTGAAATATTCCTTTGGAAAATTAGAAAGTTTATAAAGTAAAATTTCCACCAAAATTTAAAAACTGGAAAAGGTACTAGGTCATTTCTAGTAAGTTTGAATGCATGTGGAATTCCCACCCCAAGAGAAAATGCTAACCAGTTGCTCTAAGGACAACCTAGGCTGATAAATTTTGAGATGAACAAGCTCATTTAAGCTGAAATCTACTCAGAGTCCATGAAGAATTAGATCTAATAGACTCATCAAATTAGCTATTTTCAATACAAAAAAAACTTTATTTGTTTTATAATAAGCTCATTTTTGCAACTGGCCTCTTGGACTTCATTGCCTTACAGATACTAAAAGTTGAAAATTTTCAATAGAGCAATTATGTAAAAAAAAAGAAAATTAAAAATAGCACAAATTTGGGCCAGCAGGTTGTGTAGTGATTAAGGTGCTGGATCTCACATGGCCAACTCTGTGGTTCAAGTCATGGACCAGGCAGCTTAAATAATAGGCCAGGCATGTGTACATGTGTGTCCAAAATTCTGAGAGAGGAATTTGGGAGAAAGATTTACAGCATGACCATCCCAAAAAAAGGAAATTTCCCATTTTCTCTCCTCTCTGTGTCTTCTGTCTCTGATGTGCTCTACGGCAAGAATTAAAAAACAAACAAACACAAATTCAGTCTACTTGGAGTTATCAGTGTTATCTAAGAAGTAGGTTGCTATTTTTTTTTTTAATTTTTAGGTATTGTTTTTGTTTTGCCATAGGGCATGTGCACTTGCCAGAGAGAGACAGAAAGAGACGGTGAGAGGGCAAGAGCAAAATCACTTAC